TCCGCAGCCTCACGCGCGCAGCCCCAGACCTGTCGCATCTCACCCACATCCCGCGCCGCCGCGAGGAGTCGCGCGCGCCGGCCCCGCCGTCGCCGCTAGCCACTACGCCGCCCACCGTCGTGGCGGTGGAGGCCCCGCCCGTGGGCGTGTGTCTCCGCTTCGTCGACGACAGCGAGGACGAGGGCTCGCCGTCGTTTCGCCTCGCAAGGATGCCGGATGTGGATGCCGTCGAGGGGCCCGATATGCTCCAGATGATCTTGGACGCCCTCACGTCGCTCACGGCGTGCGATTGTCGCGTGGACGCCATTCTCGTCAAGGATGGCTTGATGTCCGCCGCGTCTATTGCCGAAGGCGTCACGCTACTAAAGCTGCTCTCGAGTGAACTGGACCCGGCGTTTGACGAGGAGAGGAACGTCGTGTTGCATCCCGGCACCATGGATGAGGTCCAGCTCTGGGCCTACTGACCTAAGGGAAGAGGGGGCCTACGTCCGAGCCGGCCCTTGCCGCTGCACATACTTTCACCCCGTCTGTGTCGCACCCGCTTTCCGCTCGGAGAGGCGACTTGTTTACAGTTTCCCTGTGTCTTTCACCTCAAAACCTCGTACCTCTAAGTGCACTAACTGCAACACTAAAGCCAACACTGCCATCCTATTCGCAACATTCTCTTACCCCGCATTCCTTTCCCCTTTCATGCATCGCTGCCAACGACGGTGAGCTCATTTGTCTTGACGGCCGTCAGATTAACTGGTGGTCTCAAGCGCTCCTTGCTGCCAAACTCGTTCACCACCCTATCATTTAGCCTCATCGCAATGTCCTGCACGCACCTCTTCGTCTTGCGATTCCTGCTTTCCAACTCCTTAACCACCGCGCGCACATGGTCTGTCTGCAGCACAAACCCTTCCACCGCCCTCGTCGCCTTTCTCAACACCTCCTCCGTCTCCCTCACTTCCTGCGACTCCTGCACCTCCACCTGCACATCCACCTGTCCAATCTCTGCCGTGCCCGCCTTCCCCATCACAGCCTCCCACTCCGCCAGCTCCTGCTTGTAGCACCGCACGATCGCCTCCAGCTGCCCCTCCCGCTTCCGCAAGTCCTCGTTGGCCGCGTTTGGCCTGCGCATCGTCTCCCCCGTCACGTCGCCCTGCGTCTGCAGAAACTCCACCACGCGCCGCATCGACTCCGCAAACTCCTCGCGCTGCGCCTCGCCCGCCCCCGCATACTTGCTCTCGTACTCGCGCTCGAGGCTCCGCTGGACCAGCGCTAACAGCCGCCGCGGCTCCGGCAGCGTCGCGTCGACCCCGAGCTCGCTCGCCTTGCGCTTGCGCCGCTTGCGCGCAGCCGGCTCGACCGCGGGCGCTGGCGCTGGCGCTGGCGCAGCCTCGGCCTCGGGGGCAG